AGGGGGTTTGCCCCCTATACTCGCCTCCAATCATATACCTTCATTAGACTAACTTATTAAAGTCATGCAATATTTACCAAACTTTGATTTAAACGGCCTCAGTGAGTGACAAAAAATTACTTCTAGTGGTTCAATTAAATAAATGCAAAGATTTGATAAAGAAGTTTGCTTTGCTTCGGTTGGAGCATATAATATTAGATATAATCATTATGTCTAATATTTTTAACAGTTATTCCTGTTAAGAATTTGCTTAATTGTAAAAGTGCTCAAACTCATACAAAGTAGCCTATTGTTTAGCCATTCAAATATCCATAGGTACGCTCAGATCTTAATACCAGGGATGGAGGACAAGAATTTTATTTTGTCAACATCATCGGTGCCTGTGAAAATATTTTTTAGAAGAAGTGTTGAATAGAGGCCAAATAAAAATAATAAAAATGTCACACTTTAGCTTTATATTGTGTATATATTTATATAGTGAAAATAGCAAGAGTCTTTCAAGAGTCTTGCGCAAGACCGAGATCAAGACCAAGACCAAGACTGAGTCTGGAAGACCAAGACAAAAACCAAGACCATGGTTTTAAAAGGCTTGGTCTTGTTTTAATAATCACTAATGATTTAACGTTTTATAATGCATGTTAATTAATAAGAGTTTAGAAAACATTTTGTATTCGAGGATTTAAAAACAGTTAAAAATTAGTGCATCTCAATTTTCAATAAATAGTTTTCAGTAATTTATTTTTCTGAGCGGAATTGGTTAAAATAATATTTTTTAATGGTTGCGAACCAAAATCTCCACAAAAATATTATTATTTAAATTGTGCTAAATAAATACAAAAGAAAACTTACACGATTGAGCATAAAAAACTCTGCAACGTTTCCATTTTCCATTTTAAGCTATATTATACAAAACATAGGTATCAAAAAAATAACACGATTTAGTCAATAAAATAGTCACTATTCATAAATCTGTTTGAGAATGATAATGATAATGATAATAATAATAATAATAATAATAATAATAGTAGTAGTAGTTACGAAAATAATAAAATCAAAATATGGTACGAATTCAAAATAATACTACATGATTTATAAGTAAAGAACACTATAGAGTATGGGTGATCGAACACTGATATTTTTCTGTAATAATTTTGGAATTGTATCTTAATTTATTATCTAATATTTCACCCCAATTTTAAATTTTTAAAACATCAATACATCATAGCAACAACTTTATTGCTCCGGAACTAATTTATTATTCGATAAGATTGTCGATAAATATGGGCTCAGCTCACGGCTCGCTTCTGGTATCATAATAATTGGTGTAATATTATGTGAAAATAAATTACAAAACTTCGGTCACGTAAATGTGGCAACATCGCATAAAATATTCTATGCTCAATCGTGTTGTTAAAAAGGTATAATATTGCTAAATTGTGCATTACCGGTTCCCCTGATCTCGTGGGTGGTTTTTCGGTCGTAAAAAAACCTAAAATCTCACAAAGCATACTTTACCCATTAATATGTGTTGAACCCTCAAACATTATGGAAGTAAAAATTTCAATGGTCTGGCCATTTTTTAATTTTTTGAAATGGTAAGAATACCTTTAACAAACTTAATTCTTGTCCTGATATATCGTTGCTTTTCGTCATAAAGTTAAGTATTATTTTAAATACCTTTTATAAATAAAATAACAACAGTACGATGCTAAAAATATCTTCTTACACATATAACTGTTATAAAGAATTAATACAGAAGCTTAAGTTTAAATCTTATGTGTTTAAACTTTAAAAGATGTTTAAATTTAAAATGCGACAACTTTCCCAACCCTTGAGTAGTAAACCTTTGTATGGGGGTAAGCTAACATAATAACAACACCCCTACATATAATAAATATAAATACGAATAATTAATGCAAATGTTGTCAAAATACCTGTTAAGTTGACACCAACTTACCGTACAACAAGTGTTATGTGTTTTGATTACTCTATAGGCTATATATATATACATGTATAAATAAAACGAACGGGTGTCTGTGCAGGCCCGGCTCAAGGGGTAGGCGACATAGGCCCACGCCTAGGGCGGCACATATGCAGCACTTTAGTAAGAGGGCGGCATTTTCAAAATACTGATAATATTATATTATCAGGAGCGGCAAAATTTGATTTCGAATAGTTCACTATTTTCGCTTGAGCCGGTCCTGTGTCTGTCTGTATGCATTAATAAACAGTTGGACCGATTGTAATGAATTTTTGTACAAAGATAAATTATAGCTTTGGGAAGAAGATAGGATAATTTTAAAAGAATAAATTAGAGGTCTAACCCGGAGAGATGATCAAACAGGGATTTTGAGATTTACGATGGAAGTTTTTGTTTATAAATGGTTGCTATTGATTATAGGAGAAATAATTAGTAAAAATTAGTATTTTAAATGTTTGCCATTAGTTACTATGTCAGATGGGGTAAAAGCATCCATCAAATCGTCATCAAATGGTTTCGAATAAAGAAATTGTATCTTAAAACATATATAAGAGTTGAATGTATATTTGTAGCTATTATATAAGTTTTCAAAAATTACTTGACCGATTTCGTGAAAATTTCGAATTGCTCTTGGAGACATCAGTCATGTTTAAAGAGTAGTTTGAACCACGTTGAATTTATACCAAGTGCTATACTAAATTGACCACCTTGGTCAATTTAATTCGCAAAGCTACTCAAATTGATCTGTGAACTGAGGTACCTAGGTATATGTACAATAAACAAAAGATACACTTATATGATCTAAATTTTTTTTTTAAATTATTTGGAGGGCGGAATTGGGTTAATGGATATAGATACAACTAAAATTGGATGTTGGTTTACCTGAAGTTAATAGCTTCAAAAAATGACTGAACCATTTTCTATAAAAGTTATTTCAATAGATTACTACTTGAAAATTGGAGGGTGTGTACAGCTTGATTTTTCAACTCAAATAGGCTGTAGATAGGTAAAGGGTAGCTCACACATGATCTTTTTAGCATACGAAAAAAGAAATTTTTTTTGTTAATTCGTTACATATTATATTAATATTATAATTAGAATAAACTAGCTGATCCCGTGCACTTCGTTTCCCGTTAAAAGTACCAACTCTATATGACTTAAACATTGTTCAATGCGTTATTTAATATTCGGTGTATGATGTTCTTGATTTATCTTAACTTTTCTGTTGCCCGGAATAAAAATTCTGAATTGCAGCAGTACATTATCCGATAGGTAATTTACCTGCGTTAGATCGCGGACCCCGTGCTGTTTGTACGTAAGTGTATGATTTAACTCAAAATGTACCTAAGTAATACCAAGTTTGACGTTTTTACTTAATTCCACCTACCTATAAATCCTAACCAAACCAAACCGTACTAAAATCCGATGAATAAAAAAAACAAATTTAACCCTTTTTAAATTAGCGAATCTTCTTCCCATAGGTCATTCATTTATATATAAGATATATTTACAAAAAATAATAATACAAATCAACAAACATGCCCGATTAACCAATAGCAACCAATATAATATAATACACCATAGAGTAAATAAAGACAACGGTATCGAGTTCAAATCCCAGACATCAATAAATAGTTTTTGCAGTTTTTCTAATTATTCGGTTGACTTTTTAAAAATTTTCTTTCGTAAAAACCTTCACCTGGCAATTACGAACATCTTAAAAAAAATTTGAGCAAAATCGGCCCAGCCGTTCTCAACTGATGCAATTTCGAATTTTTTGTCTCCATTTTTATATATATAGATATTATGGTGTATACATTTTGTACAAATGTGTTTATTAAAAATACAAATCATTGGCCTGGATAACGTCGGGCAGGATAGCTAGTATTTTATACACACAATGACATTGTATAAATTGCAATGTTTTCGTAATACATAAATTCAACTTACTCGTATTACTATTAGTAAAGTCAATAACCACAAAGCAATAATATTATAAGATACTAAGTAATATATGCTAAATACTGCCTTAGCTAAAGTTTATTTTTCGTAGACAATTGATACATATTATATAAGTACACACTTGACCATATATTCTTATGCAATAAAAACAAATATACATTTTACATACAAATTATAATGTTATTTTAAATTCACCAATCAATTTATTATTTACTGCATCCATGTTATTAATGAGTATTTTACCTAGAATACATCTTACATTGTATACCTATTTGTTTTTCACTTGAACGATATACTTTAGTACCTATTAATTTTAAAATATTATGCCCCTTTGTCAATACATTTAATACAGTAGTTTTAATTCAGTAAAAATCCACTAAGGGCAAACACCATAAATCCTAAAACACTAGTTATTACCATTAGTTTGTTGTACTAAGGTTGTAAAAAAAAGTTATTATGAGTGTGAGATTAGTATTAAATAATTTTAACAAAGGTTTTTTGATTTGCGGTGTTGGCAGTATAAATTATAACCACAGCAATTGTAAGACGTCGGTGGTTTTTTATGCAATGAGATGTATATTAATTTATGTTGGTTTGTATAACTTTTACAAGGCCAACCGATGGGTAATATATATATTTAAATTTATTTTAATAGTTTCGAATGGTAATACATAAATGATAAATACATTGAAAAACATCCATAATTTCAAAATTTAATTTGGTCAACAGATATGTATTTCATACAACGTTAATTTAAATGACACATTAGTAATATTATATCATAAGTCATAACCTATAAACATTTATGATAATATTATTATTATACTATTTATAAATTCTTAAATTATATTATACTTATTTTCCTACAAACAATTATTGTTCAGCAGGGCACATTATTTTCTTGAAAAAAAAAAAATTTTAAAATATATAGTTTAATAATAATTTAAGACTTATACATATTAAAATATCTACCTGTATATTAATAGGATGTAATCATTTTTTTGTGAAATGAATAATTTATCACATTTTATTATAGGGCATACAAGTTGATCCGGAAATGTCTGAAATAACATCTTTAATATTTATCTGCTGTAATGAATTATTTCTTATTGGAAGATTCGTTTCTCAAATTTGGCGCATATTTTTCGATAATAAACTTTCCATGTTATTAACTAAACTTGAATCAATTCACGAAAAACTGTTACGTCTGAATGTAAAAGGGCTGATGAAAATAACATATATGAATTGGATTCCTATAGTTATAATGATTGTAAATGTGATGTTTGGGATTATGGCTTCAACAGTATGGATGATGATGCATAAACATTTATTTGAAATAAAAGATATGGTAATTATTCATATCTAAACATATTTTATAAGTTCATATTATATAACTAATAGAAAATAATAGGGTTAAAGCTCATATTTTAAAGTGAATTGTTTTTATTGATCCTATTCAAACTTATTCTTCTCAAGCCCGGATTAAGACATTTTGAGGCCCAGGGGCCAAAGTTTTAAATGCGCCCCCTGTACGAAAAAAATATTATTTATATTATATTATTTAATATTAGGTACCTGTTATAATAAATATATATAGGTATTAGGTGCATAGCAATAAATAATGAATAATGTATCACTTTATTAATTATTTATAAATTATAATTTACAAGCTTTTTTTCCTCGTTAAATAATCATCGATTTTTTAGGTGATTTATGCACTGTTATAGTCTATATAATGAAAAAATCTGAGGCCTCTAAATAAATTCTAACTATCGAGGACGGGAGCCATTAATCTGAGTCTCTAGACTCTAGTCTGATTCGTCCTCTATTTTACCAAACCCATGGTATAACTATACATTTAAAACCACTGGAGATTTATTAGTTTAATATATTATTTAATGTATAGTTTAGATGAAACACTCATTGTGATATTGTATATTATGCTGTAATTTTCTACAATAGTTTAAGATTACGTAGTACCCACTTTTGTTGTTCCCATGGCTTACTCTATTATTACACGACAGTTCCAATTTTGTATTGCTATAGCTGTATGAATTGTTAGTTACCCAATTACTATCAAACATAAGGTAAACATATTATCTGTGCCAAACTGTGTTATTAGTGGAAACTTTATACTTTTTGTTTTGTAATAAGTATGTATCCTTGTACATATTTTCACTTATTTTTAGGTCATATGTATGATTTTAAGTATTTGCCACTGCATTGTTCTTTATGAATATATACTACTAATATCATACATAAAGTGGATGGTCTACATAATAAATGAACAAATACCGGAAAGAAAATCGAACTTAAGTACATTCAGAGACATGCATTTGGAAGTTATAGAATGCTTACACCAAGTCAATAGATCAGTATATGGTGTGCCGGGCTTTGTTGTTTTTATTGCAGGAAATGTCGCTGAAATCATTATAATTATATACGGACATTTATTGTTTCCTAGAAATTATATTAATGATAATTATTTGGTATTTTCTTTCATAGTGATGTTAATGAAAACAGTCAATATTCTAACCATATACATGATTGGTGACGCCACGGAAAAAGAGGTTTTTATAGTATATTATATATTAATTTAGCTTATTGTAAATTAAATTACGTTTTTAAAATTATTTTCTACTACATCAATAGATAATCATTAATTTCAGTGAATAATAATAAAAAAAAAAATTATATTTCTCCATCGATCCCATAATAATAAAACTTTCTTAAGAACATTTAAGACACATAGGTACTTAATGTAAATCTTGTATTAAAATTATCAGTAAAAAGAAGTGATCAAGAATAAATGAAGAACTTTTGTGAATAAAAATGAATAAATATTAAATTTTTCCAGAAATATCAATAATACAACTTTCTTAATAACATAGATAGTGTATAGTACAATGTACCAACATTTTGTATTAAAATTATCAGTAAAAAATTATCAGTAAAGTAAAATCATTATAATTATATACGGACATTTATTGTTTCCTAGAAATTATATTAATGATGATTATTTGGTATTTAATTTCATAGTGATGTTAATAAAAACAGTCAATATTCTAACCATATACATGATTGGTGACGCCACGGAAAAAGAGGTTTTTATAGTATATTTTATATTAATTTAACTTATTGTAAATTAAATTTTTTTTTTTTACATTTATTTATAAAATATACAATCTGTAAGGTTATTTACAATAGGCATATATTATGTGTTTATGTGATTTTAACTTGAGTTTACATGATTTTAAGGAACTACCCAACAGTAGTACTTATGGCTTGAGGGGTAAATTAAATTATCTTTTTATAAATATTTTCTACTACATCAATAGATAATCATTAATTTCAGTGAATAATGATAAAAAAAATTTATATTTCTCCATAGATCAAATAATAATAAATCTTTCTTAAGAACATTTAAGACACATACTTAATGTAAATCTTGTATTAAAATTATCAGTAAAAAGGAGTGATCAAGAAGTGCAAAATAAATTAAGAACTTTTGTGAATAAAAACGAATAAATATTAAATTTCTCCAGAATTATCAACTTTCTTAATAACATAGATAGTGTATAATACAATGTACCAACATTTTATATTAAAATTATCAGTAAAAAGAATTGATTATTTATATGAAGAATTGAAAATTTAAATTTTGTTATTAGTATGTTTGACTTAATATATGAAATTTAATTTTTGTATTATCAGGTAAATCAAATGAGTATTGTCTTACATCGACGATCTGTAATAGAAAGAAACCCTAGAATTAAACGTCAGGTATATAATATTATATATTACCATTATAAGTATTAATTACATATTATTGTGATTCATATTATATAAATGATTGAATAGGAATGATTATTTTTATTTTTATTTAGATCAAGTTTTTTTTACTACGCAGATTACACGAACACTACTATTTCAAGGTGTATGGAATGTGTCATATTAATCTAAGACAACTACATAGTTTATTAAATAAAGCAATTGGTTATTTAGTAATTCAAATTTTGTTCAAATTGAATAAAAAATAAACAGATTTAATTATTCGGTTTAAAGGTCGATATGTTTATCTTAAGACACTATCATTCAAAAGGTTAGCTAATAGGTACTAACGTTTATTCTAACCTATTGTAGTAAATGTTATATGTTTTCTAAGTTGTACGTGATTGACTACCCCTAGTTATTCAATATTTGCTTTACAAATTATCATAATATTATCGTTAATCTTTTCAAGATATTCAGTATTTACTATTAATAGAAATTAGAAATAGGTACTATGCTTGTTATGTATAAATATATATATATATTTTAACCTTATACATGTTTGGTGACGCCATGGTAAAAGAGGCTTTTATATATTATATAAAATATAATATATATTTTGTATAAAGAGGCTATTTTATATTTTATAATTTTAAAAGCTTAAAATATGTTTTAGATTTTAAACATTTGAGAATTATATATATGTCATTAGTTCAGTCCTTAGTTTACTATGGATTGCCCTTTTGGGGTGGTACTTATAAAGATTATTTGACACCTTTCAATACTACTATCAATAGTTTAATACAATTTATTATCTCAAAGCCTTTTTTGTATCCAACAAAACAGTTATATATTGATTTTAATGTACAACCTATATCAATAGTACCTATGTTATAAATCTTTGCTTTTACTTATACAAAAATAGACATTGTTTGAAAACCATAGAGCATAATTATAATACTAGAAATAAGTGTCATTCTAATCTTAATTCTATTATATTTTATAAGACAGTAACTTCTCAGAGTAGGTACTATTTACAAATGCACATTGTTGTGTCGTAAATTAAATTTAAATCTTATGCATATTAACTCTTTAAAATTATATATTAAGCTAAACCAGTTTGATAATGTTACACTTAATTATTAATTGTAATTTTGTATATATTTTCTTTTTTTATTTTCTCATTATTTCTACTTTTATTTAATTAGATATATACTGTTATATATTTAATTAATTGTTAATATTTAATACTATGAGAAACTCTCACTTCTTAGCACAAGCTTTTAGCTTTTTAGAAGTGAGTCAATATATTATCTTAACTTTAATGTATTATAATTTATATTATAATTTTATATTATATTGTTATATTTTATGTTGTTATATGATATATTGGCGAAATAAATTTAGATAATAATTAATTATTATACTATATTTATATAATTATTTGTACTTGCAACTTTTAAAGTACATAATATACCTATACCTAACCTAACCTACTTACCTACCTATACCAAATGAAATGTTTTCGTCAAAATCAATTTAACTTACTGTTAATAAGTAGAAATAGTATTATAAAATATACTTATATAGTATTATATGTTGACTGACCGTCTTCGTCCACAATCATTTTTCATATAAAACTAGCTGATCCCGTGCATTTCGGTACCCTTTAAATGTACCAACTCTATATGACTCAAACTTTGTTTAATTCGTTATTTAATATTCGGTGTATGGTGTTCAAAATGTATCTTAACTTTTCCGTTGTCTGGAATAAAAATTCTGATTCGCAGCAGTAAATTATCAAGTAGTCAATCTACTTGCGGTAGATCGCAGACCCCTAACTGTTTGTACGTAAGTGTATGATTTAACTCTAAAGTATCAAAGTTATACCAAGTTTGTCGTATTCCACCTATGGGGGATTAATATAATCAATTAATAAAAAATCCTAACCTAACCTAACCGTACTAATATCAGATAAATAAAAAAAAACAAATTTAACCCTTTTTTAAATTAGCCTGTCTTCTTTTTAGAGGTCGAATCTACACACGAACATTTATTTATATATATATTGAAAAAAAAAAATAATACAAATCAACAAACATGCACGATTAACCAATAGCAACCAATATATAATACACTGTTGCACCACTGTTGTATTTTTTACATCCAGATTTCCTACTTTTCCGGTGAATTTTCGTAAAATTTTCTTTCGTAAAAACCTTCTCCTGACAATTACGAACATCTTAAAAATAATTTGAGCCAAATCGGACCAGCTTTTCTCAATTGACGAGGTAACGACATTTTTCACCCTCCATTTTTATATATAAAGATGATTTTATATCATTTATGCTATATATATATTAATACCCACACACCCAAAATTTAAAGGAGTGTTCACTCATCTATAACCCCTTCACCGCGCCACTGGTTAATATTTCGCCACTATGTCCCCCGATCAATATTTTGGGTTGGTTTTAGATTCTGCGCGGAGGCCGTGGGGCGGTGAATGTATTGATTTAACAATGGTGTGCTTATATTTTCTGTCATCATCCTTCCGGAGCAGTAAAAAATAAAAGTGCTTATATTTTCTACTTCAATATTTTTTTCTGGTATAAAATAGAATCTGGTTTGAATTATCCAATAAGTCAAAAGTTTAAAAATGTACTATAAGGTTACCTCTTAATCTATGATTATTTCACGGGGGGGGGATTTATTCATATTATTATATACATGTTGTATTGTATACAAAATAAGGTAATCAATATGAAATCATAAATCCAAAAAATATAAGAGCATAGTTTTTTTTTTATAGACATGATATGATAATTGCAACTATTTGAACGAAATTAGATATTTAAACAATGATTAACAATAGTAATTATTTTGTTGTAATTTAAAAATATTATTCGTGGTGACTTAAAATATTTACGTATATTATTATATTATATCTAGGGTACACAATTACATTTTCAAAATATTTTGTTAATTTTAAGATATTTCTTGATTATACCATGAATCTACACCGTTCAATCGTAAGTTGGTATAATGATTCAAAAATAATGAATTATAAAATATATACATTATAATAATTCTTCTGTGAGTGGTCAAAATGGGTTAATTAAAAACTCAAGATTTTAAAAATATTAAAAAGTTCGTTGTAAGTAGAGATTTTAATATAATTATGATTTTGTCTGATTTATGATTTTTGAATAACTATATCTATATGTGAATATACAATTTCAATAATATAAACCATCAAAAATATTTTAGATTCTGAGTGAAACGATGAATGTATTGATTTTACAATGATGTGTGTTTTTTTTTTTAATTTTTTTTGTGTCTGTGTACACGATAAGTAGTCGAAATAATGCTTGGATTTTCAACTTAAGTATCTTGTTCGATTGGAAAGTGAATACCGTTGGTGCATTGGGGAGGTCAAAATTTAAAATTCCCAGTACTTTTCAAAAGCGCCAAGAAAAACAAAAGAAAAATTAAGGAAAAACGGGAATTTTTACGCAAAATCGATTTTTCAGAAAATTGAATTTGGTTTTTGGTGTAACTTTAAAACAAATGACCGTAGGTACATGCAATTTTCACTGGTTGTTTATATTTGCATCTTCTATACACGATAACATTTTCAAAATATTTTGATTTATTTTGAACAGTTTAGGGACATTTTCATTTTTCGTTTTTTTTTTAGTTTTTTTTCTAGAAATATCAATAAAATTTTATTTGTTGGTTGCGAAAGCTTGGAAATTTAATAGAAGGCTCCTAGTATATTGATTCAAAGGCATTTGAAAAATATTAAAAATCCTTAGTCACAATTTTTTTTTAAAGCATTTAAAGTTCAAAAATTGACAAAATATGGAAAAATCACGAAAATTAGCAAATTATTTTGAGTTAAGAATTCGTAAAAATTTTTCTTTTTAAATCTAAGATTTGAAAATCTAATACAAGATTACTCATAAGATTGTCTACCTTTATCAATAAAAAAATCTCTACCGGAAAGTCAAATTAAATTTTTATGAGCGTTTGAGATTCAAATTTTTACAACATTGGATATTCACTCGATTTCTCATGTGGCAATTTCCTTTTTTTGTTGTAATTAAAAAACGAATTACTGTAGATACATGAAAAATTCACTGAATGTTTATATTAGCATTTCCTATACACCATACAATTTTGAAAATATTTTGACTCTTTTTGAGCTGTTAACCGATATTTTCATTTTTCAATTTTTTTAGTTTTTTTTTCTATGAATATCAATAAAGTTTTATCTGTTGGGCCAAAAAGTGTAAAAATTTAATGCAAGGCTCCTGATATAGTGTTACAATATCAGTTGAAAAATATTAAAAATACATAGGCACAATTTTTTTTTATAAGCATTTAAACATCGAATTTTGACAGAATTTTTCAAAATCTCGAAAATTATTAATCATCGTAATTAATAAATTCTAAAATGTTCAGTTTTTATCGCTAAGGATTGAAAATTTAAAACAAGATTCCACGTAAGTATTTAATTCTCTTACCGAAAAATCTAAAAAAATTTCAATGTAACTGTAAAAGGATTAAGTCTATGTACCACAAGACCAGCTACGTATAATAGGTAAGAAGTACAGTTTTTTTCTGACTAACCTAATTTCATCAAAATCATAGAAGCACAAATTATCAATATAAAAACTTCTATGATAATCGAGTACCATGTTACTTTTTAGATTCTGAGTGAAACGATGAATGTATTGATTTTACAATGATGTGTGTTTTTTTATTTTTTTTGTGTCTGTGTACACGATAAGTAGTTGAAATAATGCTTGGATTTTCAACTTCAGTATATTGTTCGATTGGAAAGTGAATATCGTTGGTGCATTGGGGAGGTCAAAATTTAAAATTCCCAGTACTTTTCAAAAGCGCCAAGAAAAACAAAAGAAAAATTAAGGAAAAACGTGAATTTTTACGCAAAATCGATTTTTCAGAAAATTGAATTTGATTTTTGGTGTAACTTTAAAACAAATGACCGTAGATACATGAAATTTCCAGTGGTTGTTTATATTTGCATTTACTATACACGATAACATTTTCAAAATATTTTGATTTATATTGAACTGTTTAGGGACATTTTCAGTTTCCAATTTTATTAGTTTTTTTTTTTATGAATATCAATAAAAATTTATTTGTTGAGTAAAAATACTTGAAAATTTAATACAAGGCTCCTACTCTGGTTTTTTGCCAAACCACATTTTAATTATTATCTACATTCTACACAGACACA